AAAGGCTACGAGACAGCCTATGAGCGATACCAACGGCTTCAGAACCATGTAAGCCTGCGATTTTCCTGAAACGACTGTGTTCGAGAAATATGCCGTGAAAATGCATAATCGCACTTGGCTAACTGATCCTCTTGCTCAGTGCACTACCGAGGCGGTGTAGCGCTTGCTTAGCTTCTCTCTCTCCTTTGTCTAACTTTCCTCTTTCCCTCTCTCTTTCCTTGCGTGGAGGCAGGGATGTCGTGTTCAGCTGAAGCCGTACAACCGGAGTTCGTACCGCCACTTCTGCAGTGCAGCGACACCTCTGTGTACCTTTGAGGCGCAAGAAGGAACAACAAAGGGTTTGTGTAGACTCAAGTATGCTTTCTCCTACTGTAGCTAGCCCGTGTAGAGACCTCACACGAGCTATTCGCGGGAGACCACGAATAGACGCATACTAATAGCCCAGTCCTTCAATTAGCGGTACATACTGCCATGCGCACAGTGCCGAGGGTTTGTACTTTCTATTTCTCCAGGTTCATAAAGCTGCACAAATAGGCACAGCTCAGCTGTTGACGAAGGGACTTGTCTTGTTGAGGTGGAGAAGGAAGAAGAGGGGGGGATTTAGTTCTGCAAATGGATGCTGAAAGCAGGGGACAAAAGAAGCCTGATTTACTTGAGTCTGTTCACATTTGAAAAGTCCAAACTGATACCAGCAGACGCCAAGTCCAGTGCCACATAGGACCAACTCCCACCACTGAGACCAGTGCCACACAGGACCAAACTCCCACCACCGAGACCAGTGCCACAGAGGACCAAACTCCCACCACCGAGACCAGGGCCGTACAGGACCAAACTCCCACTGGAGAGTCAACCTTTGCCGCAAGGGGAAGAGGGGCAGAGAAATAGGCACAGCTCAGCTGATGATGATAAGGGCGAAGGGACTTGCCTTGTCGAGGTGGAGAGGGAAGAAGAGGGGGAACTTAGTTCTGCTACTGACTGTGAAAAAGGTGTCAAATGGATGTTGAAAGAAGGCGACAAAAGAAGCCTGATTTAAAAGATGGGAGAAAGGAGAGAAGAGAGGGGAGGGAGGAGAGGAGAAGAGAGGGGAGGGAGGAGAAGAAAAGAGAGAAAGAGAGAGGAGGGAGGAAAGGAAAAGAGAGAAAGAGGAGGGAAGAGAGGAGAAGGTTGCGTCACAATTGAAATATCGCGAATATTTGTCGGCAGTGGATGTCGCGCGTGCGTTGAATATGTTCTACGTGCATAGATAGTTCCGACAGTTTATCTAGTAAAGACGGTTTATACTGACCTTTGCACTGTCATTCGCCTCTCATTCTTGCCTTTTCCTTGGTCTGGGCTCCCGCAGTAGTGGCGGGGAGAGAGGGTTCTTGCTCGCGCTGCGCTACGCGCGCACACTCTACGCGTAAGCGCGCACATTGCACCCGCGTGATAGCATTTTTCGTGGTCAAAGGAACGTCGCGTACTTTGCTTATGTGACATACAGCTAAGTACGTGATCGTGAGTGGGTGTTGGAGGCGCTCGCAAAGCAGATAAATAGAACCTACGCTCAACTACAACCATGCTGCGCTTTGAAATTTCAAAATTGGTCGCTGTTTAGCTACATTACGGCATCTGATCTGATCTGAGACTAGGATGGCGGGAAGACGACCGAAGGAGTTTGAAGACGACGACGTGCTGAGCCCCCAGCACGGCGGCGCACACAATGTTACTCAGCAGTCTCAAGAAGACCTGACAACAACGTGCTCATGACTCGCTACAGCCCCCCTACGGGCAGCAGCTCGGCGACACACATGGCCTCTCCCCGGTGGACGTACGCAACTCTGCGGGTACGCCGCCGCAGGACATACTGGTGTGGACGTCCTTCAGCGGTCCCAGTCCGTCAAGGGGCCGCGGCCGCGGCTTGCTAGCGTGGACGCCGCCCTTCGGAAGTCCCAGTCTGTCAAGGGGCCGTGGCTTACCGAAACGAGAACCCTCACACACGGTCACCCCTTCGACGATCGGCAATCAGCGGAAGCCAAGCGGAGCGCGACGGGCAAAAGAAGACGGAGGCGGAGCGCAGGGGCGAAAGTTACACCTTTCGAAAATGAAGGAGCGGCAGCTTGATACGATCTACCCTACCAACTTTCACAGGAGGTATTTTCCAATAGTCCTCCATCTCCCTCCGCAACTACATCACCGAGGGGGCCTCTGAGGATGCTTGGGGGGAACTCTGCACCACCTATACATCGTTTTGCAAGACTCAGACTCCAGCACGGAGCCGTCAGTCCCTGTCCCACCCCTTCTGCGACCTCTGTTCCAACTCACGTTTGAAAAGTCCAAACTGATACCAGCAGACGCCAAGGCCAGTGCCACACAGGACCAAACTCCCACCACTGAGAACAGGCCACAAAGGACCAAACTCCCAGCACCGGGACCAGTCACGTACAGGACGAAATTGGCGACACTCAACAAGAGACTGAACTGCCTTCTGACAATGATGATGCTGGCACAGATAATTCCTAACAGTAACATGTTTACGTGTACAAAACTGTTGCATGCAGCATGCATGATTGTTCTTAAGGTGTTGTGTAATGTATATAACCTGTATATGTATTTTGTTCTTTACGATTGTAAAATGTGAGGTATACTTGTAGGAACCTGATTGGCTCGCATTTAAGCAATAATAATTATGGCTATTGTTGGTGTAGCTTTCTTGATCCAGAGGGTCTGTCCCAGATCTTTTGTAAACTGGTGTCATGATTGCCACGATCTGGATGTCTTGAATTGCTCTAGGTGACCAGTGACCACACAGTAGCATTGATGCTAAAAGACGAGCATGTACACTGTAGTGAGTATACACCATAATCAGTTCTTTAAAGTAAGTTCAATTGTGTCACGAATGATAACTCCTCAAACGAGTTATTGAACAACAGACACACAACAGTGAGTCACACGACAGAGAGCCTTCTGCGCATGCCAGTCGTGCAAAGTTGCGTGCATGCGCCCAGGGAGGATTAAGAAGGCGTAGCTCCGCGAGGATAGGGTCATATGTCGTATATAGGCAATAAATTCCTGAGTACCTGAGTGACTCTCAGGGTCAGGGGCGTAGCTAGCATTGAGGCAGAGAAGGCCTCCTCTGTTTTTGCCGACTTATGAATAATTTATTACTTTTCGCAGCGTAACCAACGACCAGCGAGAGCATGCAGTTATAGTACTGGGTTGGCACCAACCAAGAGCGGACATCTCCTCCAGAGAGTATCTTACAAGCCTGGGGTCGCTCCGGGCATCGCCGTATTGCTCTGGCCTTCCGCAATCAAACAATTTTCTTCAACAGTGGTGGTTTGTAATTCGCGGTCCTGAAGATGCTTTGAAAGTTGTGGATGAAATTGTACAGTTGGAGTGTTGTTTCCTGGAAGGTCTCCAAAACGGCAGTGATTGTTCCGACACAAAGATGAATGCAGATGGTAACACAGAAACAACTACAGCAGCCATGGAGGTGAGAGATGATAATCTGCAGGTCCTGAATTGTGTGCTTCTCCAGCCACTCCTTTTTGGGGCTGAATCCAGGGCCAAACTGCCCATCTGAAACAAGTCTACAACTATATAAGTGGCTTTTGTTCTTTCCCCTCGTAGATCTCTTGGTCATATTATGTGGATCAGCAAGTTAGCATATATGACTGCAATACAAAAGTAGTTAATTATAACTGAATTCAATTGTTTCGTGGCCAAAAAATGAACACTTGAACCCAGCTAAAACAAAGAACACTATGTATTAGTTCAAATTCCCAAGTTTGAATGGCAGAGGGCATCTGTACACAGAGATATTTCTCCTCTTATCGAAGTGGTTAATTTGGACATTTATGGATAGGAGCGGCCACGTCGGCAGCAGCCGCTGGCGTGGAGGACACTCATATCAAGATTCTCGGTTGGTGGCAAAGTTCAGCGTACCTGCGCTACGTCAGGGTGCCAAGGGAGAGCCTCGCCAAAGTTTCGGTCCGTCTGGCGACACAGTAGGAGTGACTTCCTCCTACAGAAGAACCCACAGCTGGGAAAGACCATTGGTCTATGGGCGTCTAGTGTATGTTACATACCTAGTAACCTTCGAATATACTACGTGCTCGGAGGGTGACGCGGTTCCCACGTCCCTGGTGGAAGATGGTTTAAGCCCATCCTCCAAACACGGGTGTCAGAGCGATCTCGCACATGTGCACTGTGGCCGTGGCGATGAGCTCACCATCGTCTTGGTCATGGCGCGCATGGTAGCAGGACCACGGGCCGAGCGTGCATGCGCGAGTTATTAGTTCGCGCGTAGGTGGCCGCACCCCAGGGCGAGGCCTGTGCGAGACTGCCCTGAGTCTCACTCGCCATTAGTATACATAACCTCTTATAGCTGTTACTATTAGGGCGACATTACAAGCGCCAAGCCATGTTAAATGACGTTTAGCTAGCTAGACGAAGTTAATGCGGTGGGTGCTCGCGGCCAGGCGAATTGCAGAGCGGGTGCAGGTAAGGCTCAGGGCCAGGGCGCATGCCGTTTCTTCGCGACCCACCCAGCTCTCTCAACCGCAGCTCCTCCATTGGCCGATCGGATACATTTGTCCATTGGCCAATGTGATAGGGGCTCTGGGCTAGACAGTGAAGTGTGGTTGGTTCTTTGTCTATAGTGCCGAGCCATCCTCCGAACAACTTGCATTCTTCTATGCCTCACAGGGCTCCCATCCTCGTGGGAGAGATTGTAGGAAAGCTGCAGATAGAGACGTTGCTTGGCATCTAGCTTGGAGTTGATAGTACACGTTTTCTCCGCACGGGGGGCTGGGTAGGCGTAGTTTCGTGCTCGAGCATGCACGGTTAGAGTAGCGCAATGTGAACGCGGGCCAGCGCAGATACCAAACACACGGCTACCGCTCCGCTCCACTCACTTCGGAGTTTAACCACGCCCACTGGGAACAGAAAATAAGTGATAGACCAATATGAACTGCCTACATAAGAAGGAACCTTCAAAGTTATACTATGTACGTATGTACCTGTCAAAAGGAAGCTTTCCTTTTATCCAATGAATTGTGTGCAGTATGAGGCTGCTCCATACAAAACCTACGAATTCAATAATAAGCAACTCATGCTGCTTGACAGTAACACACACCTGAGTTTAGAGAAACATTAAGATTGTGGTCAATGATTTTAGCTAAGTCCTCATATTTTCTAGAACTTGGGCACCACAGCTCCACAAACCGATTTCTCAGAGCAGGAGAAAGCTGCAAACAGGTAAATTGTTTGGACCTAGCACAGCCATCTAGAAAGAAATCTATACCTCTTTTTTGCCGTAGTCCCCACCAGGGTTCATAGTGGCCATAAAGGCAAAGCCAGGAGAGGCTGTTATCTGGAACACTTCAGCCTGGTCCTGGATACGGCTTCTCTCGCTAACTAGCAGTCGGCGCTCAGTCTCAAGAACAGAGTTGAGTCTCTCCAGCACTGCATCATCAGCAAGAGAGATCTCATCAACCAACAGACAGCAACCTTCTTGCATGGCCTTCACGACCACTCCATCTTGCCACTCAAAGAGCCCAACCTTCTCATCTCTCAACTGAAAAAAAATTGAAAACATACTATTAACACTGGGTCACTTTGATGGCAAGGAGCATCATGAAATATCAACATACTGTAATCCAGAAATGTTAACAGTCACTGTAATTAAAAATATTCTGTTACACAAAAATACGACTTTCATTTGCGCATGTGTGGTTGCGTATTGCCCTTGTGTGAGTGAGAAACGGCTGGAGCACAATAAACTGGCTTAGACTTAGTCGTGAATGCTCTGCAAATGATCAAAGAGCGCTAGCAGCAGCAGAGTCGGCATCACCCATCACACAGGAGGAACAGACCCGTGGGCATCGTAAGAGGAAGTCAAGCAAAAGCACTGTTACGACGAGGCAACACTGGACTGCCATTGGAAAGTACGCCCAGAGCAACGGTAATAACGAGCAGTTGGGAAAATTTCTGCATTGCTTTGCTACACTGCTGCAGAGGCTACTGTGCTTAAGTCCTCAAGAACCCTCAAGAAGGCCATGATCTGGAGAGTATGAGAATAAAAAATACCAGCTAATGGGTATGGCAGACCTCTTCTCCCCGAAGAACTCACGAACAATTTCATCCGGAACTTGCGTCATTGTGGCTCCTCATCTGGAACTTGCACCTCGAGTGGTAGCTAGTTTCTAGCTCTGCTTTCGAAAGCTTTTTTTGCTTGAAGCTGTGATCTTCTGCTACTGCTGTTGGTGTTTGGAGGAAGAGGAAACTTTCAGCTACGTACCATCATCTACTACTCTTGGAGGTCTTCGGCAGCCTATTTTCAAACTGCAGCGTGAATTCCAATTAATGCCCACCAACGACACATCGGAGAATACAGCAACCCGGACTAAGTCTGCTCAAGACTGGTTGCAATAAACGGGCTAAGGTGAATATCATTTTGTGGGAAATGCCTAAAAGCTTGTCAACGCTGGAAATACGGGTGAATCTCGCGGATATAGGATTAGTTGGTTTTTCTAGGGGAAGCGTTGCTTGGGAGGGCGATCACGTCAGGTTAGTGTTACTGCATAAGGATAGTAAGGGCCTTAGTAAGGCGGTTGTGGCGCAAATTTCAGCCTGTCTTCGGAAGATTGGGTGTAGATGCGTGTTAGACGAAACTTGCCATGTTAAAGAGGCTGTACATTCTCAGCTAGGTGATAGTGTGGAAGAGTGTGTAGCTGGTGTGCCTGAAGGCAGTGAAGTGAATCTTTCAGTTGTTAGTGAGAGGATGAGTGGCCAAGGCAAAAAGGACAGAAGGCAAAGAGTCGCTACATGGAATTTTTCAGGCCTTTGTAGTGAGCGTAAACAGAGAGAGGTAGGGGAGCTTTTGCAAAGGCTCAAGATTGATGTAGTAGCTGGTCAGCATTCCTGGGAGGGAGGGAAAGGCAGTTGCTATAGATTGTTTGGAAAGCCTCGTGAGAATCAGAGTAGTCGTAGAGGAGAAGGAGGGGTTGGGTTCTTGGTTCGACGATAGTGCTTGATAGACGAGGTAGAGTTTGTAAGTAAAGTCAGGTATGAGGAGAGCGTGTGGATGAAGGTTCGAGGTGGGAGAGGGAGGGAAGCATTGTATGTGTGCTGCATTTACATGCCTACAGATAGTGCTTGTGCTTCTGTTATTGAGGATAGTTACGTCAAGTTGAAGGAGGATGTGCTTGGATTCATGCAGAAGGGGAGGGTTGTTCTTCTTGGTAATTTTAATGCAAGGGTGGGTAGATCTACTGATGTTGATGATGTCATTGGGATGTTTGGGGAGGAGACTTGTAATGCCAGTGGAAATAGGTTGATTTCATTCTTGAATGAGGTGGAGCTGGTGATATGTAATGGTAGGAAGTTAGTGTCGGAGCCTGAGTGGACGAGAGCAAGGCAGAGCCTGCAGCAGAAATCAGTGATAGATTATATAGTTACGGATAAGCAGTTGATGAGGGAATCTGGTGATGTACAGGTTAATGTAACTGATATTGGTGCCACGGATCATTTTCTAGTGTGGCTGGAGTTGGGCTGTGTAAAAAAGGTGGCAAGGGCTGAGGTAGGAGAGAAGGTAGTAGTGTGTGGCAGGGCAGTCAGGTGGTGGGATGATGAGATTTAGCAGAAGATAGAGCAGAGAAGGGAGGCTTACAAGAAAATTCCTGAGGGTCAGGATTATCTATGGGAGGAATATAGTAAACTGCGTAGGGAATAGGAAAGAATTTTGGGCATTTGTTGGTAGAAGGACAAAGGGTAAGAGGAGGGTGAAGGTAATAGGAAAGAATTTTGGGCATTTGTTGGTAGAAGGACAAAGGGTAAGAGGAGGGGGATTACAGCTTTGAGTAATAGTGCTGGGGTGTCAGTGACTAGTACAAAGGGAAAGCCAGAGGTATTAAAGAGGCATTATCAGCAGTTGGGCACTTGTAGTGTTGATAGAGCCTTTGATGGTAGTTGGAAAGAGGAAGTGGATAAGAAAGTGTGTGAGTTTCCAACAGATTGTGTGGGAAATGTATTGGATAGGGAAATAGATTTGGAGGTGATCCCATTGTGTGTTAGAAAGTTGAAGAATAACAAGACTGGTGGTAGTGATGGGCTTGTGGGAGAGCTTCTAAAGTATGGTGGGTCAGGGATGGTAGAGTTACTTAAACAGTTGTTTACAGTAATTTGGCGTGAGGAGTTTGTGGCACACAGTGGAGGGAGGGCCTCATAGTTAACCTGTTTAAAAAGGGAGATAAGGAGGATCCTGGGAATTATAGGGGCATCACTCTGCTGAGTGTGGTTGGGAAGGTCTTTTGTAAATTGAACAATAGGTTGGTGAAGCATATGGACGAGGGCAAGGCATTGCATGAGGGCCAGGCTGGTTTTAGGGTTGGAAGTGGTAGTGTTGATAATATTTATACGCTGAATGAACTCGTGCAGGATAGACTAAAGAAGGGGAAGGAGACATATGCATTCTTTCTAGATGTGCAGAAGGCATACGATAGTGTGTGGCGTAATGGCCTGTGGTTTAAGTTGTTGGAATTTGGGGTAAGAGGGAAGATGTGGAGGGTCATAAAGAAGATGTACGAGTATTCAACGAGTTCTGTATTGTTGAGAATGGTCAGGCATTTGATGTGCAACAGGGGGTAACTCAGGGATGTAGCTTATCTCCAATTTTGTTTTCCGTATTTATCAATGGGTTGTTGAGGGAGGTGGAAGAAGCTGAGATTGGGATTAATTTAAGTAGTGGCGGGAGACTTGGAGGCCTTTTGTTTGCAGATGACTTCGTTAGTGTTAGTGAGTCTAAGGATCAGTTACAGACGCTTATAGATGTGGTGCATGCTTACTGTCGGAAATGGAGGCTAAAGCCTAATGTGAGTAAGAGTGCAGTGAAAGTGTTCGCTAGGGAGTCAGTGGATGGTGCTTGGAAATGGGGGGAGTATGTTTTGCCTAAAGTATCTGATTTTACTAGTACTGGTGCATGGGATGTGCATATCAAGAATGAGTTAGACAATGGTAGAAGGAAGGTTAATCAGTTGCATAGTGTAATTAGAGTGCAGTGATGGTGTTCGCTAGGGAGTCAGTGGATGGTGCTTGGAAATGGGGGGAGTATGTTTTGCCTAAAGTATCTAAATACACATACTTGGGTTTTGATTTCACTAGTACTGGTGCATGGGATGTGCATATAAAGAATGTGTTAGACAATGGTAGAAGGAAGGTTAATCAGTTGCATAGTGTAATTAGTTATAGGGATATTAATTTGAGTGCTCGCATGTTGTTGCTGGCGGTGGTTAGCCCAACTTTAGAGTATGGGAGTGAGGTGTGGGAAGCCAATAAGACTCAGGCAGCTGCGTTAGAGTCCACGATGCTGAGAGGAGCTAAGCATATCCTTGGGTGTTCGTCTAAGACATGTAATGAAGCCGTTAGGGGGGATATGGGGCTTAATACGTTACAAGGGCGTAGGGATAAGAATAAGTTGAAGTGGTGGTATAAGTTAGCGGCATTGCCAGGCAATAGGTATCCGAAGAAGCTTTTTAACAAGGAATGGAATTTTAAGCCACGGGGAGGCAGGCAGAGGAAGTGATGGAGAAAGCTCATCGGTCATTAGGTCCTGACAAGGCAGAGTGGTTGCATGATATTCAGAATGTGGATTGCCCCTTGAAGGGCTTTCTGTCTATAGTAGGGGGCAGTATTAATGAGAGGGAGATTAGAAAGTTTGAAGAGGGGCTAAATGGCAAAGTAAAGCTGTTGTTGTATAAGACATTTAACAAGGTAGTAGAGTTCAAACAGTACTTGCATGGGGAAAGTGATGCTGGGTCTAGATTAATGTTTAAATTCAGGTCCTAAATGAGGAACTTGGTAGGCATAGGGGGAGGGAGGGTATGAAGGAGTGCCTGTTGGGATGAGTGTGAAAGTGTGAGCCATGTGTTGTGGGAGTGTCCAACATATAGTAGTCCTAGGACCAATTTTTTAGTTGCCCTGCAGGGGAAGCTTGAGGATGATGGGTTTGAGCATTACCAGTCGCTTGATAGTTTCAGGAAAGCATATTGGGTAGTTGTGGGAGGATAAATTTGGTTCTTTGCTTGGCCTTGTTAAAGGTTTTATGTTGGGAGGTAGGAAAGGTTAGGTTATACGGCGATAATGCCCGCTGCGTACAACAGACCCAGTCTCAGATTGCGTCTGGGGAGCTGCAGGGTGTCGATGGTGGAAGGGGTGAGTTGAGGTGTCTGGGAGGTGAGACAGACACCTCATGTTCATATGGTGTATGTTCGTTTGTTAACGGTTCCGCCCATTGCTCTGGGTGCGTGGTCTATGGCCCTAGTGCTATGGCAGCCACCTGAGTATTATTATTATCTTGCTCGAAGACTAATTCAGAAACCCACTCACATATTTAAGGAGCATTGGTGGGGGGATTTTTCTTACAAGGTCTTGGGAAGGCATGGGTATGTAAAAAGGAAGGCAACAAAAAAAAGTTGAAAATGCCAGATGGCTTTGAGCAGGTTAAGGCAAGATAGAATCGGATCGGAGAATTTATTACTGCCTACAGCTTCAATGGTTGGAATTTTGACCAGACAGGCACAAGAATAATGTACCTGTAAGGGATTGGACGATGTAAGTCCATGGAACTAAACAGATAGACACGATCAGTCTAGACGACAAAACGGAACTAACTACCTTGTTAGAAGTTTCACTCTCAGGTGTGCTTCTCCCTCTTCAGTTAATCTATGCAGGAAAAACTACAAGTAGCCTTCTGCCACTTAACCCATTCACAATGCTGGAACACAACTTTAGTCCCCTACATGGACAAACACAAAGAGAGAAACAGCCTTCCAGATGGGTTGTGCATATACTACAAATACTTTTAGCACACAAGTGTCAAGAGTTCCTGAAAGAGCTAGAGGAAAAACACATGATGCATGTTTTTGTGTCATCAGGACAGCTTCAACCTTTGGATGTTGCAGTGAATGACTAATTCAAAAAAGCTATAGCTACTGCTATGCAAGTAAGATTAAGGAACAACAACTTGATAGTGGCAAAACCATACGAAATGCAAGGGAGGACCAATGTATTTCTTCCTTTAAAGAAGAGTGGCCCAGGGAAAATATCACATGGCTGTTTGACCAGGAAGCTACACCGATTTGTGGGCAATTTTGGAGAAAATTGGGAAGTGATCTTTGAACCGTATGTTGCTGTAAAATCATTACAAATTTTAGCCAAGAATGTTAAAATTTGTGCATCTACAGTCCGATTTTTGTTACAAACTGGGCAGAGGTGATTTTTCCTAAAACGACTGCTTTCAAGAGATGTGGCATGAAAACAAACAAAAAAGATGCATAACGACACTGGACCTGACCCACCTGTTTGTATAACTTGGAGCAACAAGAGGTCACAACGTAGGGCATGTATGGTGTCATGCATGCTATATACTTGTGTAGCTAGCCCGTCTCTGATTCTCCCCGCCAGCTACCAGCAGGAGACTATGGGTAAAAGACAAGCACAGCCTATATATTAGGAGTAACATGCAGGCACATGGCTTCAGTATTCTTAGTGGGTTTTGCACTTTTCATCGTCAAGGGATTTTTGATTCCTGCATATTTTATTCCTTGGTTGAGTAGCAACAGCAGCCTGTGCTGTAATGTTGTCTTGACTTGCCAATGCAGGCTCTGGCCACGATATCTGCCATTAGTGCGTCTCAACATGTCTTCAGCCCAGAGGCAAGTAGGTAATCTATTTACAAGGAGCTGCACTGCCAGTGATCTACGCAAGCAGTGCATACTAGTTCTTCAACTAAAGGGTATATTAATAGTGCCACATGTCCGTTTTCTTAGGAAAATGCATACGCTGACTTCTGTATGGGGTGAGGTTAGTGTCAATTGCCCGGACCTCAGAGACGTGGGGCATTCACTTCAATTGGAGATTGCCTGTTTGCGGGGTCTGCTACGGAGGCTTTAATGTATACCACTGCACTGTGCTCAGATGACTTTAGTGCGACTGCAATCTAAATTTTGTATTACTTTACTTATTATTATCACCATGACACACCCTTACACTAACTTCGGAAGATCCTCTGCTTCTGGTAGGTTTCAGCCCTCCTAGGAAATCTGCAGCCTCACTGTGCATGTGGCAATTGATGGAGACAAGTTTACAACCAAGAATAGTTGAGAACAGCTGACACAGCGTAGTTTTCCCACAACTGCAAAAATGTAAATAAATTCATTTCATCACCTCATAATACTCCATAAAAAACTTAGACACAAATTGACAAGTAATGAATTATAACGGACACACACATAGATAGACATTTCCACTAATAGGGACTTGCAAAAGCCGTCTAAAATCGCTGGACTGGACTTGTTGACTGGACTGGTGGACCGGAGTAGTGGATTCGCAAATTACGCCCCCGCAAAGCCATTTGTCGGCTTCTGCGACATTTCTTGAAGGAATACAATGACTCTGGACTTCGCACTGGCCTGTAGAGCCCACACTAGGCTGCTGCTTGAGAGTGCACATCTGCAATTCCTTACGAAAGAACGTAGTGTCTATCTGGCATATTTGCTTCATGTAGCGTAGTGGACTATTATAAGCTGTTCTATATATAGCACGTAGCGTAGAATTGATGTGATGTAATGTTACGTAATGATCAGAGTTAGTCATGACCGATCCGAGAGACTGACTTACAGTGGAGGTCCCACCGAGACCGGTCCTAATCTGCGTTCATGGTACCAGTGAGCCTCTCCATCCTACCTCAACGGCAACTAGTACCTACTCTTTCTCTACTTGAGACTGAGCGCGGGGCCTAGCGCAATAGCTCAGAGCGTACGAGACCTGTAGCACGGTAGCCCTGTCGGGGGGAAGCGGTCCGGCCACGATTGTGCAGGAAGTGGTCAGAGGGCCTTTGAGTGAATACCTCCGACAAGAGTGATGAAGAGTCTGACTCATCTGGACGTGAACGTGGTAGCCCGGTGTTTGACGAACGTGAGGAGTTCGAACAACAAAGAGCTGAGAATGCTGCTCTAACAGCCGAGAACACGGAGCTGACAAAAGAAGTGAGTTCTTTGAGGGAGGAAGTAGCCAAAGTGAATGAATCCCTGAAGAAGGAGAGCGAACGTGTACGGGAATTGTGGAGGATGAATTGCGCACAGGTTGCTGGCGTTGACGAAGCCGTCACTGTCAAAGACAACGAAATAGAATTGCTTAGGGCTAGAGTCGCAGAGCTAGAAGCAGCGGCAGGAAGTGTGCCTACTGCCGTCACCCACACGCCCACTGTCTTGCCACCAGCACGTTCTCCACTTAGTTCCCATGCGAGGCTAGCGCCTTCTAGTACACGCGTTACACCTCTCATACGTCGAGGGAAAGCCCCTCCTGTCAATGAGTTCAGTGAGGAGGATCCTGATTGCCTACTGGAAGATTGGCTTCCTTCTCTCGAGCGAGCTAGCTTCTGGAATGCGTGGTCGGAGGAGGAGCAGATGATACAGTTAGCGGGCCATCTGAAGGGGCGTGCCCTGCAGGAATGGAATTTGCTCCGCCCAGATCAACGTGCTACCTTTGCGCAAGCAACAGAAGCCTTGCGCTGCCGCCTCGACTCAGCCAGCAAAACAGTTGCTGCGCAGGACTTTCGACATGCTGCACAGCGCGAGAACGAGGCCGTGAGTGACTTCATTCGCCGCCTAGAACGCATATTCCGTTCTGCCTACGGTCGCGATCCAATGTCTCCTGAAACTAGGGAAACCCTCCTGTACGGTCAACTATCGACATGCTGCACAGCGTGAGAACGAGGCCGTGAGTGACTTCATTCGCTGCCTAGAACGCATATTCCGTTCTGCCTACGGTCGCGATCCAATGTCTCCTGAAACTAGGGAAACCCTCCTGTACGGTCAACTACAAGAAGGCGCGACTTCAGCTCATGCGAGGACCAGCTGTGTCTGGAGCTAGAAACTACCAGGAGCTATGCGTTGCTGCCAGAAATGAAGAGAAACGTCTTGCCGACCTGAGGAAGAGGCAGGAATACTCCAAACTCCAGGCAAATTCCTCGACATCTCAAGGTACCAACAAGTCTAAGCGACCTACCGACTCGACTCGTGCACCAGCAGGATCAACAAGCCCTTCCACGACATCACAAGATGCCGCGAAACCAAACTTCAAGTGTTTCTACTGCCACAAGATTGGTCATCGGAAGGAAGACTGCCGGCGTTGGAAGAAGGACCAAGCTGCAGAGTCAGAGAGCCGTGGACCCAGCTGCCCGCCGGTAGGAGCGAGACGCGTGCGTACTGGAAGCCAGTCGGGTTCATCAGACAGAAACCCCCCTCAGTCTGAACCACCAACCTCACCACCAGTTCTGTCTCCATCGACAACTCAAGGAGCGGAAGAGCCTGATACGTCTGACCAGTCGCCTCTCGAGCTACTTTTCTCCGACTCCGACGACGAAGGAGTCAGGCAGATCTGCGTCAAAGACAATGGCAGCTGTCCCCGGCTTGCCAGAGTAGGCGTTCATGGTGTCCCGGCTGATGGAATCGTAGACACCGCTGCAGATATCACCATTATGGGTGGTAAACTGTTTGCCCTAGTCGCTACTACAGCTAAACTACGCAAGAGAAACTTCAAGAAACCAGACAAAGTCCCCAGGAACTATGATGGAAGAGAGTTCCACTTGGACGGTTGCATGGAGATGGAAATCGCGTTTCAAGACAAGACTACCACGACCACTGTCTACATCAAGATGGATGCTGTTGACCAGCTCCTACTCTCTGAAGGTGTTTGTCGACAACTTGGAATAGTGACATATCACCCTTCAGTTGTTCCTCGGAAGACTACGAAGCCCAAAGCTGCAATGGTTCCAAGCATCAAGGTTAGTCTCATACAGTCACTGAAGCTGCCTCCGAGTCAGAGTGCCCTAGTTCCTGTCAAGTTAGAGTCCTGTACAGCTGTAACGGATGAGATGCTGCTCATCGAGGGCCAACACCTGCTGAAAGAGACTGGATTAGTCCTGGAAGATGCTATTGTGGACACACCGCGAGACGGTATTACCCAACTGGTCATAGTGAACATGTCGGGCCTCACCCAGAGAGTCCCTGAAGGAACCATAGTAGGAGAGGCCCAGGCCGCTGAGGTTGTCACTCCAGAACCTAGACAAGCCACTATACCTCTGGTAGATGTTCGGAGGTTATGCTCATCAGAGGATGAAGACCGGAGAAAGGAACTGATGGAGGTGCTTCCTCTTCAACACGTACCTCCGTCGGATGCCAAACATTTACGCACATTTCTAGCCAACAATCATGATGCCTTCTGCATTCAGGAGGGAGAACGTGGCGATACGTCACTTGTGGCCATGGAAATTGACACCGGAGATGCCGCGCCCCGGAAACAGCCCCCCCGAAGGATGCCGTTTATGGTCCGTGAAGAAGTCGCACGACAACTCAAAAGCATGCAGCGAGACGGAGTGATCCAGCCTTCTAACTCACCCTGGTCTAGCCCAGTAGTTATGGTACGCAAGAAAGATGGCAGTCATCGTTTCTGCTTCGACTATCGAGTCCTGAACTCCGTCACAAAAGCAGACACATTTCCTCTACCTCGCATAGATGATCTGCTCGATCAGCTTGGTGGAGCCCGCTACTTCTCTACCTTGGACCTAGCCTCTGGATTCTGGCAGATCCAGATGGAGCTCACGTCAAGGGAAAAGACTGCATTTGTTACTCCACAAGGGCTCTACGAGTTCCTCGTCATGCCTTTTGGGCTGAGGAATGCACCCGCAGTGTTCCAGAGATTGATGGAGAAAGTGCTCAGCGGTCTCAACCCAGAGAGTGGAAGACAGTTTGTTGCTGCCTACCTCGACGATATTGTCGTGTTCTCCACAAGCCTCCAAGAGCACCTGATCCACTTGAAAAAAGTCATTGATCGGCTGAAGTTTGCAAACCTCAAGCTGAAGCCCAGTAAATGCAACTTTGTGAAGAAGGAAGTTGAATACCTGGGACACATCATCACAGCCAATGGCCTCCAGCCCAATACCAGAATCACCCAGGCAGTACTAGCCTTTACAATTCCTGAGGACGTTCAAGGTGTGCGAATATTCCTCGGTATGGCGTCATATTACCGACGGTTTATTGCCGGATTTGCCAAGATCGCACAACCCCTTCACCATCTCACCGCGAAAGATGTACCTTTCCAGTGGTCAACAGACTGTGAGACTGCGTTCGTCACATTGAAGAGCCGACTGGTGACGCCTCCGGTTTTGGCCTACCCCTGCTTTGGGAAGGAATTCACTCTGGAGACTGATGCGTCCATTCAGGGACTGGGAGCCATCCTTTCACAGAAACAAGCAGACCAGAAACTCCACCCTGTTGCTTATGCCAGCAGAGCGCTCACTCCAGCGGAGAAGAACTACAGTGTGACAGAACTTGAAACTCTAGCCGTGGTCTGGGGAATCACCCACTTTCACTCGTACCTCTACGGTGGTGATGTGACCGTCATTACTGACCACTCAGCTGTGAAGCCAGTCCTGGAAACACCTAACCCAACTGGGAAACATGCCAGATGGTGGACGAGAGTCTATGGGAGAGGGATCAAGTCAGTGAGCATCATCTATAGAGCTGGGCGTGAGAACAAGAGCGCCGACGCATTGTCCAGAAGCCCTGCCTCCCCGGCTCCATCTCATGGCATCGCTCAGGATGAGACTCAGGTGTCAGCACTCACAACAACCGCTTCTGACACTGCGACGAGCCAAGATATCTCAGCACTTTTACAGTCGTCACCTACCGATGGCGACGCACTCACTAACTATGGTTCTGAGCAGATGAAGGATCCCGACCTGCGAGAGTTGATACTCTACCTGGAACATGAACAGTTATCTGATGACCCGGAGAGATCCAGGAAGCTTGTTGCCAAAGTGCCCCAGTTCGTCTTAGTTGGAGGGATACTCAGGTATCTGGACCACAGCCGTGGAGACCGAGCAAGGGTGGCCGTCCCACTCCATCTGCGAGAGAATCTGATGCAGGAGGCACATGGTGGTAAATACGGTGGTCACTTTGCTGGACCCAAACTGTACAACACACTCTCCCGACAGTGGTGGTGGCAAGGCATGTACGGAGACGTCCTCTCGTATTGTAAGTCATGCCCAGTGTGCAATAGTTTCTGGTGGTGGACGCCAACATCGACCACCCCTAAAGCCAATCCCGATACAGCGCCCGTTTCAAAAGATCG